GCTAAACAGCAATATTATGACATATTCCATATAGATTTTTTTTTCAAAAAATTTCAAACTACTAACTCTTAGAAATTATAGGACAGCATTATTGTCCCACCCTTCTTTAAAAAACTGTCAGCTTAGTCAGGTCAACCAAAAATATTCTCATTTCCTCATTCAAAAATCTACATAGTTTTTTATGAAGCACATTTGAGTGCTGTTCTGGTAGGCCCTAATGAAGTATACTGAAAACAAATGTAAAGCAAAAAGCTCTAAAGTAGTGATAACATTTGAAATGTCAACTTCATGTCTCTGACTTACCCTAAAATAATGGTTTTGGGTGTGGACAAAGATATATTTTAGGGATATTTACCACAGCATTGATTTCACTCACCACATAAGTGTAACAAATTACAAAACACGTAAATTTCTAATGATTAGGAGTGGAGTAAATTATATATATATTTTTTTTAAAGTAGAACATAAAATAACATGGGTCTTTGGGCAACTGGTAAAATAGCTTCTAATACTTCATCTTCCCAGCTTAACTTTTTTCTACTGTAAAATAGGTTGATCTGACCCTGTCTGATTTAAGACACATTTTAGGCGTGTTTCACAAGTAGATTTGGCCAAGAAAAGTAGGTAACCTGGCAAATAATATATATTTTTTTTAAAGTAGAACATAAAATAACATGGGTCTTTGGGCAACTGGTAAAATAGCTTCTAATACTTCATCTTCCCAGCTTAACTTTTTTCTACTGTAAAATAGGTTGATCTGACCCTGTCTGATTTAAGACACATTTTAGGCGTGTTTCACAAGTAGATTTGGCCAAGAAAAGTAGGTAACCTGGCAAATAATTCACATTGTTATGAGAGTATATCTTTCTTTCTTCATATGACTTAAGCTGCCATGAAATTGTTTAAAAAGAGATTGGCACCCAAACTTCATTTTTGTCCTTTGCTGCTTCATATATATTCCACTGAGTAAGAATGAAAACCAGATAACCCCTCAAGGAAGTTCAGCCGTTAAATAAAAGTGCAACATAGCATAATTTCTGTGTGTGGATTATCCATTCTTGACTCTTATGGTGATTTTGTGCTGTAGGCCTCAAAACAGGATTTTAATTAAAAATCAGAGGTGCCCATGATACCAGAAAGATCAGTCTATTTGGGATCAGTATTGAAATATTAAATCTAAGCTAAGAATATTTCTTCGTTAACAAGGGAAAGATTCTTAAAATAAACCGTCTTGGTAAAATATTAGCTAACACTAATAGGTACATGTTATTGATCACTTATACAGATGGTATTTTAAGAATACCATCTTTTCGAACTCATTTAATCCTCGTGCAAAATCTGTGAGGAATAGACTAATCTGAAGCTGAGGTTCAGAGAGAGCAAGAAATTTCTAATGGACTTGAAACTATGAGACAGTCAAGACTCAAATGCAGATGGCTGGGCTCCAGAAATTTGCTCTAAATGACTTCACTTGGACATGCATCTGTGGTAGGGTGAAAGCTCATAAAAACCCTGAATCCGCTGAAGTAGGTGAGTACCTCCACTGCCCGCTCCAAAGCACATTTGCTCCTAGAACAATAGGCAGGTAGCCTACCTTCCTACAAACCAGACAGACTGCCCAAAGTCAGGGGAAGCCAATGTAGAATGACTAAGTCATCTACAAATGACTTCTAGTGTTCTCATCTTGTGAGTGGACTTGGTGGTGAAAATGGCGAGACCCTAAATATGACACCATCTGCAATTTGTAATTTTCTCAAGGTTTTTCTGCATGCTATAGTGCTCACTGAAACATCTGAGAGGTAGAATGGGACCAAACTGACAAGCAATTTCTCCAACCAGACTTCTCATTTGTCCTTCAGCTTGGGACTGAGCCTAGCATCAGTCACGTTCTGAGGCTGGGTTTTCTGAGTAGCTCCAGCCCAGCAGACTTCCAGGCTGGAACATGGGACTTGGCCCCTTCCCCACTGAGCCTACCCTGGTCCAACCTCATCCTACCTTCAGCTTCACCCAGTACCCTGTGGAAAGTGGTTGCTCAGAAAATGTGTTTAGTGATTTTCCAGTCACCATTTCACAGATGAGCAAACTGAAATACAGAACATAAAACTTAACTGATGTTATGAAGCAAACACACACTTCCAATCCAGGGTGGCCTTTGTGACCTTGCAAATAGGTGAAGTTGGTGACAGATCCTTTCTATAATGTCCAAGGATAAAGGGGAGCAGGTAAGAGATGGGGAGGAGGCATTACTGGACTTGAAGGTAGGGAGGGGAGGAGGAAAGGAGAGGAATACGAAAAAGAGGTTCATCGCTATCAGAAAACCTTACTGCAGAGGCCCTGAATCATGGAGCTGCATCACACCTGGAGCCATTTATAATGCTTGTGAGAAATGCCAGGCTAATAAACACTTCGCCAGCCAGTAATTCATGAGCTCCAGGCAGCAGCTGAAACCGAGGGGGGTAATGGCCACAGCTGTCAGGCTCCAGATGCTTTGGGGCCCGGCCCTGCCGCTTTGTCCCCGCTTCCGCGTGGAGGAACGCTGAGAACTGGCAACCGCAGCCACTGCCCTGGCCGGCTCCCAATGCACCAGCTGCATCTGGCCTGAAAGGCGGCTGATGCTGGCGGCCTTGTGCTCCCCACGAGGCTGGGCTTTGGGCGGCAGCCAGGCTGCAGGAGTTGGACCTCCCTCAAGCACACGTGGTCCAACCTCAACTGCGTCTCCTCCAGATCCCCATGGAAGCTTTCGATTTCCCGGAACACCACATCCTTCCAAGGTGTGGGTGTCTTTCTGAAGTCTACAGGAAAAGATGGAATGAAAACCACGCAGGTGAAAAGTCATGTCATTTATTAATAATTTTTTTCTTCTATAAATTGGAAGGAAAAAGTCTTTGGTGACACTCTGTAAAACAATCTATCTCGGATGGCAAAACCCAGACATAAAGTTACACAGGTCAGTGAAGTAAATCAAGATCTATGGCTTTATAATTTCTTGCACAATCTCTCATACACACTTCTGGGCTTAACTGCACTAAATCATTAATAATCTATAACAAATGGGGAAAACACTTCAGAAAGGACCTGCGGTGACACTAAAAAACATTGGCAACATATTAGAAAACTCTGTCCCAAATGTACATTGTATACAAAATAAGGTATACTATTTTTTTTTCTTTGCTTTACAATTTGCCACCTAAAATAGTTCCAGTTTTAGATGTCTTTCTTTCTACCCCTCAGCATATCCCATACATATTTTTCTCTCAAAATAAATATACAGGTTCATTACATGGTAAGCAGGTCATGTGCATGACCCTAATTTTAGAAAGAATTACAACCACAAAGAAAGTAATGTAATCCTGTAGGAGAAGAACAGAAAACTACCACAGAAAACAAATGACCTATGAGGTCTCAAAGACAAACTGTTACAGAAGTGGAGTGACTGAAAGTCTTGCTTGACTAGATTTTAAACAGGGTGCGGCCACGCTATTCCGTGTTTTGGGGTCTCTCACGTGGCCTCTTGGTGTGGAGTATGCTGGAATTCCAGATGAAAGACAACTGCAGCCCCAGCGAAGGAAAAAAATCAAGGAAACAAAATCTTCTGATTTTTTGGAAAGGACAAAAGAGAGAGATGGCTTGCGGGAGTCATCTTCATTATCAAAACTACGGTGCAAATTAACAGGTTTTCTATTCGGAGCTCTTGGACAACATTACTGAATCAAGCGGAGAGAACTTTTGCAAGATGCTCTACATACTATGCTGCCCCCCTTGAAAGAAATTTGGCACCAAGGCATAATCTAATCTCCACATCCCAAACTGTCCAGAGCACACAAGATAAGTTTAGGTCGGTCTGATCATCATACTGCTTCACTGAGAACTAAACACAAACCAACTCTGCCCCCATGGAACATGCGTAAGAGGATGAGGCCTGCAGTGAAAGGACTGTCTGGGTTAAACCTGGCCGAGAAGGACATCTGTACAGTTCCTGCCCACAGTTATAACTGGGAAGCTAGCAAATGAATTCAGCACCTGGAGCCCAGATGTCCTGGCTGCATTTCGGTGGTGTTAACTATTTGATGGCAGGGACATTTTCATTTGCAGGTTCATGGCAGTAACACCAAAAAACTGGTCCTTTGAGACCCAAAGGAACATAGGCCACTTCCAAATCTAGAAAGGTTGTCTCCGCTTTTGCTTGTATACTTCAGCCTTCTCCAGCAAGTCTCATGAAGATTCTAACCTGACGAGCTTTTCTGCCTCCTCCTGCTCTTTGAATGGCTTTGATTAAAATTTCATTTTTTCTTAAATGAAGCGTGCTGCTTTTTTCTTCCTAAACAGTATACTGGCTTGTTCACATCATTCATCTGACCCCTGATTAAATTAAGGTTCAGCAGCCTTTATAAAAGGCCACTGGTGAAATATTCCTTCAAGTTGCCAGGATTTTGAGAATCACCAAAATAAAGGCTAACATAGCCTACTGTAATGAAAAACAAGACTCATTCCAAAAGGGAAGTTGAAGGAAGCAACCAGGATTGATCCTTCTTTGAGCACCATTTGTAACAAGAAATGAAACTGTAACACAGCTAAGGTCCCAGGGATGAAATTCTCCTTCCTTCTACAGCGTCACATCTAGAAAGGGTGCCGACGTACCCAGGTGGGCCCACCTGGTTGTTTCCATCTTTTGGGACAGGATGACAATGATTATTGCATGGGTTTTTCTCTACAGTCTCAACTTTGAGCCATTGTATTTGCAATGAAAGTGCTATGTTTAATGTACATGTGAGCTTGGGTATGTATGATTCTTTTCACTTAAATAAATACATAGCCAGCTTAAAAAAAATTGTTTTGAAGACTACATGTCCTACTGCGGAAACCCTAAGTGGTGGTTTGTGTGTGCTGGAAAATCCTAAATGGCTGAGTCGTCCATGTAATTCATTATATGGCTGGCACTACACTCTCTGCCCTTAGCATCTTACCAGCATGTGTTAACCCCCTTAGGGACCCCTGATTATCCCTAAAGTTGGCCATGCAATAACTCCTGACACCCTACGGCAATAGACATGACTCATCAAACCTACTGCAATATGATATACAACTCTTTCCTAAGAAAATTAAAATCACATCTTACTGTTGGGCCTCAGTGATTTGCTTAGGTCGTTCAATTCCCAGCTATGTATTCCAAATGCACAAAAAGAACACAATGCCAGCATGCCAAAGAGATGCACTCAGAGAGAGACACACAATGAAATCATGGAGATTTAAAGTAGAGAAAAAGTGAGTCAGATCCAGATCTCATTTATAGTTACCATATTTTTTCATATAACACATTGTTTGTGGGGACACTCTGCCCTAGGGCTTTGACAGGGAAATCTATCCTGACAGCCACTCGTGGGACTGACTGGTACAGCCAGGGACTCTGTTTCACAAGCCAAGCTGACAAGTTTCAGGTTGGCTTGGGATCGTGAAGGCAAACACTGCATTCATTTCTGTGAAGGAGAAAGACATCAGGCCAATACTCCAGCTCTGCAAATAAATACAAATTGGCAAAGGGCAGGTGAATAGGATTGTTAACCTTTTATCACGCTGAGAAGTGCAATTTAAGTGACATGAAACTTTTGGGGGCATTTTATAGAAAAACACAAGTGCAAGTGTCAGGACCTACAAGTTATTTTTCAACAAATACCTAAGAGAATATCACATCTACTTAGCGGACAACGCCACACGCCTGAGGGTGTGGGCAGAGGAGGAGCCAAAGCGGATGACAGACACTTAGGGAACTGCTCTGATCACATGCTACACAAGAGCTGCTTTTTAATGGCACTGCACTTTGTACACAGCTCTCACAACACAGCATCAGGACTCGTGGTCTCCCGTCCTCGCTCTGCTGCCCACTGCCCAGGGAACCATCTCTCCCAGCCTCTGTGAACACTGCTTTTTACTCCTAATTACAGCAGCCCCTCCCAGCTAGCAGTGCAAGGTCCTCTTTTGCTCCCAGATGTCTACACAGGAAGGATGAGTTAGAGTCTACTAAGCTGATGGTTTCCACTGACCTCGGCCAGTGGCTTGAAAGTTATTGGAACATAACTCCGATCAGCTCTTGTTCTTTGAAAACAAAACTAGAAATAAATGTATGAGAGTTTGGGGGAAGAGAGAGACGAAAAGTGCTTATTGTTTATTCTGCATAACAGGTGAGGTCTAATAATCTTTCTAGTCCCTCTTCTCTTGCCTCTTCCAAGTAGAAGAAAGCATTTAATACCAGAAGTCTCCATTATTATATATATTTTTTAAACAATGGAGCCAAGTGATAGGGTCTGTGGGGTTTCTATGTGGTTTTCTTGCAGTTTCACAACCACTATAAGCTCCGGGTGGCATTTGTAGGAATAAAAATGTTCTTCCCAACAAGAAACACAACTAATCTTCTCTACATATTTAAAAATTAAAATAAAATTTAAAAGTATTCCCATTTGCTTCTTTTCTTTTACCCAATTCTTGCTTAAAACAGTATTTTACCAAAAATGATATGCGAGTCCTCACCAGGAGGGACATGCTGAGATATTTCACAGCAATTCTCTTGTTCAGTGGTGTGAATTTATACATTATGACTTCTTTCTCGGCAAAGACGCTTCCAAAATTTGAGGTCTCCATGAACAGTAAAGAGCTCATCTTATAATGTTTCCTCCAAAATATCCATTTTCAGTTGGTCTCTAAGTCAAAACCTTTTCCTAATCAGACATACGTCAGTGGGCTGGATCTGTCTTTTATCTAAGCACTGGGTTACCACTGTAGGTCAACTTCTCCAGCCACTGAAAACATTGGTGGGACAGCTGATGGCTCTTTGTGGAAACCGAATATGAGCTTCTTAATTATGCTAGTGTTTTCTTGGTACTAATCCCCCCAGCCCCCAATGAAAAAAGATTACCATACTTCTATATCTCAAACACAAAGTTTTCAACTAGAGCTGCCTACCTGGAAGTCATAATACTTTCTCTCATGCAGCAACATTTTAGAGATAAAAAGTTCAAGTGGATTAAAAAATTCAGATTGGAAAGCAACTGGACTGGCAGGGTGGGACAGAGGACTTGTCTTAACGTACGCTCAGCTATTTCTTGACACCGGCCGGAGGGACTTATTGTGTTTACCATGAAGTCTGAGCTTTTGTCGTGACAGGAAACCCTGCGTGACCGATGGCAATGAAATCTGTGGGAAGAGGAGCAGCAGCTTTGAAACACTCACGACCAACACCATTTTGATTAAAGAAAGAACTCTGGTTTTTAATAGTTTTGATCATTAAAAAAGTTTAAACCTGCATAGCAATCATTTCAAAAATAATTATTTAATGTTCCATAATTAAACTGTACACAACCTAGTCTTGGGACCCAGAAGCCAGAGGTGAGTTGGAGAAGTCCGATGCAGTCCCGGGGGCCAGGAGTCGAGTTCTCATTGGCCGTTTTTTGTTTTGTCGTTGTGTTTCTCTAAGTTTATTTGGATACTTGGCACAATCTGGCTCCGCTGATGAGCGGATCTGCACGGGAAGAGAGAGAGCAGCTAGACCCCTGTCCCTCCTCGCTTCCCCAACCCCACTCAGCCAGACGCCTCAAAGCCGCTCAATGTCTCGGTATTTCTTCCTCAGGATGGAGACCTGGTCTTTGAAGAGCACGGGGTCCAGCCGCATCTGAGAGTGGATCAGCGGCATGTAGCCAAACCAGCTGGCAAATGTGTTCATGCAGCTCTGTCTCTGGGCAAAGTGGTCGGGGTCAGCCCAGCGGGAAGCCCGAGAGGTCTAGGGAGAAGGACAGAGACAAGAGGATGATGAGAAGCAGCACGGGCCCTGAGCCAGTCGCAGAGCTCACCGGCGTGGACCGGCAACGGGAGGGCACGGACGCTGCTGCTCGTCTATCCTGAAAGCTCCCATGATATGCTAAGCTGGTCCATGTTGAAAACACATCTATTTGCAAAAGATCTAGCTCGCTGCTGCCTCTCATCTATCTGCTATTTTGCTCTTTAATTTGTTCAAACTCTGGGTTTCTCAAAGATGTGTTAAGTATCTGTACCAACTCCTTACAATGAATGAAATCTTAACCAATACGTGTTCTTTGTTAAACATGTATTAACACAAGTTTAAAAACAGAACCTAATGCTGATCGACTAATTCTCTTCTCAGTGAGTAACATGTGTCAGGCGAATTCCCCTTTGCACCGATGCCAGGGCTAACACATATTTCTGCTTTCAAAAAGAGTTTTTTTTGGCACCAGGGCTTGAACTCAGGCCCTTGTGCTTGCGAGGCAGGCAGCAGAACCACTGAGCCAAATCCCTGATCCTCAAAGAGAGTTTTAAATTCTTTTTGTTTACTTGGCTGATTTTGAAATATCAATCATCAATTTTCAGAAGCCTGTCTTCCTATCCACTTCTCCCTCCCTTTTGTCTCTCTACCTTTACAACGATCTCCCTGAATCTTTTGATAAAAGGTCACATGTATTGGTGAAGGGAACAAATAAAACCCTTATCCTTCGTTGAGGGCTAGTATTATGCAGAAGCTGAGATTTCTTTTTCCTACCCTACACGCTTTTTTTACTGGGACAGCCATGAAGTATAAGGACGTGGGTTTAGTGATAAATAAGGAACACGTTCATGTGATTATCCACTAAAATCTCAAAATTCTGTTCTTGGAATTTAAGAAGTATTGCATTTTCTACTCTAATAAAATGCCCAAAGTTTAATTTTTGAAAGGCAGTTGATTCTATAGAGTCACTGTTCACCCTGAATAGGAAGAATGATTTGCTCTAGTTAAGTGGGAAAGAGAGCTATCTTTTTAGCCTTCTCCACTGCTTCTATGGGTGCTTAGTTTCGTATCATGCAATTATTGGCCCTGATTTTTAAAAAGGCTTAAATGATGTTAAGTGCTGATATTCAAATAGAACTAAGTATACTGTCTTTAAAGTTTTTATGAAATAAGAGATAAGATGGGTTGTCAGATTACAAGGAAAAAGTCCATGAACTGATTTAGGCAAATAAGCAACTCTTTAATGATGTAGGTGTGTGTCCAATGTGCGTTTGTCCTCATCATGCACTCTTAGAAACATACTTTCACGGACAGGTATGAGTCGCTTTAAAAATCACTAGAAGTCACTTTAAAATCACAAGTGCTAAATACTTGAACACAATATCAAAAATAAATACAAATGTCAAGTTAGTCCTGAGCAGCTACGTAATAAAATACTATTTGCCAAGTGTGTTCATGAAGCTTCTTCTTTGAACCTTGCAACATCAAACTGAAAGGATGATCTAGCCAGGTGAGGGCATCTACATTTTGTAGAAGAGGAAGTTACTTTACTTAGGGTGGAAAGGCAGCATTCACACTAGAACTCTACTTGGGACATGGGAGAAGGCTCCAAGTAAACCTGAAGGCCAAGTTCCTATCAGAGGAGATGGTCCCATGGGTATCCTGCTCTGTTCCTAAACTGATGGGCGTTGTGGGCCATTTCAAAGGGCCAGACCCCACACCCAGCAAGAGCACTCAGAACACAAATGCAAATGCTGTGAAGAGCCTCAGCTCATTCTTATTCTTGCTTGTGATTTTTTTAAAAGTCCAGGTGATTACTCCAGTGTCTCTCTGCCTCTGAATTTTTAACATTTACTCTGGGTCTACCAGTGTTTGGTTGGAAAAAGATCTTCCTCCCAAATAGTGAAAGCACCATTTTAGAGCAAGACACCCTTCTGTTTCACCGGTCACACCGACGAACATTCCAAACACTAATGGCTACGAGAAGAAGCGGGCAAACAGTCCCTGGCTACACCCAGTTCAACCGAAGGTGCAATTTCGATTTGTCTCTGAAAGATGTGAGAGCTACTGAAGGAGTGCTTCAGGAGCACTGGGAAATCTGTGAGACGAGCACAAAGCCAGCCCTCTGCAATCAAACGCTGTTAGGGTCCCACTCTTCACGGTGCACTGTGTATCCCAGGGAGGTCTGAAGAACGACATTAAACGGATGCTGCGACTTTAAGTGAGGTAACAGGCAAAACAGTGTCTGAGCAAAAAGTGCACAATACATCTTGCTTGGATTGAGTGGGCTTTTAGCCTCAAAGATTAACATTTTTTTGCAAATCCTCTTGCCTGCTCTGCGGTAATTACAAGGAAATGGAATTTTCCACAAGACCTTTTATGCACGAAGGACAGCGCTTTTCTCATAACCAGTACCTACATCAGTGCCTGGCGATCTGCCAGCGCTCCATAAATACTCGCAAACTAAATCTGAGAAACTTAAAATCCTGTCCATGTTTTGCTCCCTGAATTTCTTATCCTGTCCATGTTTTGCTCCTGCTGAATTTCGCAAATGAAAAGCCACGAGTGGTATTAATAGGAGGGGCAACTCAGTTCTCCCTGAGAAAGGTAGATCCTCGCACGATTGTCAACACGGCACAGGCAAAGCCTCGGAACTAAACTGATGCCAAGCCTGACGGATGCTCTGTGATTTAAAGCGGAGAGATCTAACGGTTTTGAGTTGATATCTCACACAGAGTGTTGGGTCTGCCCGAGGAGAATGACAAGAGATGAACGTCAGCACATTCCATCGGGCTTGGTGCTGGAGACAGTCGGGGAAACAGGCCGCAGAGGGCCTGGCCTGGGGCCAACGTGGTGGAGGTGATGCGGGCAGCCCTACCTCTTGTGCACGATGTGCAGAGAAGCTGCCCTCTGTGCCATGCACTTGCTGTGTGCCCGAGACCTTACCCTGGAAACAAAAGCTAAGACCCTGACTGGCCTAAATCACACTAAGCAGCGAAACACTCACTGCTAGGGATCAGCTTACCCTGGAAGAGTGGACAAGGCAAAGATGCACACCGACAGGCTCATCTCCAGAGCTCCCCGCTACCACAGTTTGCTGTTCGGCACCCCCAGGCCACCCCCGCACAGTATCACAAGCAAAGCCTCTGCACTGCACTACTTTTGTTTTTGGGGTTCCTCATTCTGTGCTGGAGTGAACTTCGGTGTTGAGACAGCCTCGCCTCCCCTCACCTCCTGTACTCTTGCTGGGGTGAGGGACAGAGCCGGGGAGGCAGAGGGGCTCTTTGCAAGCCCCCCACCACTCCGCCTCCCAGACCCCTGCCTGGTGTAACAATACAAGGGATGGCCCAGGGTGCTGGGGAACCAGCGGTACAAACCACTGGTATCAGTGGTACCCAGGAGTCAATTCTCACATCTGCCCCCATCTCGTGGGTGACTTGTGGTGACACTGGTAAGTTTTCTAGGCCCTGGTTTTCTTATAAGTAAAAAGAAAGTTCTGGGTTATATTTCCTTGAAAATATCTTTAGTCCTAAAGTGTTATAACCCAAGAAAACATTTTACTGTCCTTTAAAAAGGTTTTCAGACGTATTACCTCCACCTTGTGAGGCAGATTTTCACCATGTTCATCTTAAGATGAGCTGACTGAATCTCAGAAGACAACTCTCTTGCCTACGGCTTATAAATGCTGGCTCAGGAGCTGAAGACAGAAAACTGTGACTCCTGGTATTTCACTGTGATGCACATTCTCTCAGAAGCACCCGCCAGAAGGCTGTACTAAAGACAGTATGGTTTGCCAGTCACTAACTAAGGCACCTAGGGTATATTTCTACACATGCTTTGCAAGTCTTTAATTCTGCTAGGGACCAGAATATTTGTCTCCCCGAATTTAAGGGTTAAAGCCTAATCCTCAGTGTGATACCATTTTAGGTGGGAACACGGGAAGTAATTATGTCAGGGGAGTGGAATTACTAGGAATGGGACCGGAGCCCTTGTCAAAGGGACCGCAGAGAGCTTTCTGCCCTTCCTTCCACCATGGGAGGACACGGCAAGCCCACAGCACTCTGTGAATCAGGAAGCAGGCCCCAGCCCGATGCTAACTCTGATGGTGCCTTGGTTTTGCACTCTCCAGTCTACAGAAGTGTGAGAAATCAATGTCTGTTACTGAAGCCACCGTAGCTAGACTGTGTTGTTACAGTAGCCCAAAGGGTCTAAGACTACCTGAGGACATGTCTCTCTCATGGCACCGTACATGAACGCTTATATTCTCAGGAGACAGATGCCCTTGGCTGGCTGTGTTTTCCTAGTTGTCCACGGGCCAATCACTCCTTCCTGACATGTTGTGCTTGGAAGAGATATCTCCTCATCCTGCTTCCAACACAGCCCTCCTTATCTTGGGCAGAACTGCCAGTGAGCAAAGCAGAGAGAGGGCTCCTTTACCTGTCCCATCATTGTCTCCTTATACTGCTTCTTCTGGGTCACTTTGATTGGAGGCAACTTTGTCACGGCAGACACCAGGAAGTTCATGAGAATGTCCTCACAATTGGCCAGCTGGTCCACCATGGTCTTCAGGCTGGCTGGTAGGTAATGGGTGTACAGGTAGTGATAATATCTGTAAAGACCGAGGAGTGGTTACACAGGGGGCCACTGTTACACGGTGGCAAGTGGGTTTTAACCAAATAAGCATTCTCTGAATCCCGAGTGTGTCGCTAATGGCAACCGTGGTGATAATGAAGGTAGCTATTACTTCTATGGTACTTAGTGTACACTTAGTAATAGTCTGAAGTGTTTTACAGAAGAAGGCCTTATCTAATCCTCATAAGGAATCTAGAGGCAGGCACAATGTCCCCATTTGATAGGCGAGGAAACAAGGCACAGACACACACACAGCTGCAGATATTGCTTGGCTGTCTAACTTTACTATCAGGCCAGTGAGAAGGCATAAGTACCTAGGTGGCAAGGCAATTTACGCGATCTCCCATTGAGACAAATCATTTGAACAATCCAGGTTCATCGAGGTGGTGGTGGCAGTGGAAAGGGGAACAAGGAACTTTTAAGGGATGAAATCTGAGATCAAGCTTCAGCCAGTCTAAATATTTATACCTTGGGCATTTTCAGTCCTACAGCTGAGGACAAGATTCTCTTGCCTACTGAAAAACAAAGGCTAAGGTGTGACTGATGTGTCCACCTAAGACAGAAGACAACAATGGATGCGGAATAGTAACTACCTACGCTCACTAGTCTGTGTCTTGCAGTCTTACACCAGTCTGCTGCCTTTCAAGACAGAAAGCCTGCCAAGGAGTGTGCAAGTTGTGTCTCCATCCATGACTTCAGCACACTCTTTGGACACCTAACATGCTCAAGATGAAACTGCATCTTCTGCCACACTTATTCCACCCATAGCTTTCTTTAGCCCTATTGATGTCTACTCGATCCTTCCACCTATCGGGTCAAAAAACATGGCAGTCATGTGATTCGGCTCCCGGTCTGTAAGGATATCACGCTGACACCTTCAAAATACGCCCACCGTCTGGTCACTACAAACCATTTCTACCACTCACTTCCTGGTCCCAGGCTCCATCAACTTCTACCTAGAAAACGCCAGTTACCCTTGTTCCTGATGGCCCATTCTCCACACGGCATCTGGAGCGGGTGCTAGAAGCAGAAGCCAAATCCCTGTGGTGTCCCCCAGGTCACACCGAGGAAGCGTCGAGTCCTGCTCCTGGGCTCACAGACCTCTGTGACTTCCCTCAGCCACGCCTCTCTCGCCTCATTACCCTCCTCAATGTTCCCGCTGCGTCTCTCCGAACAGTGTACCAGCTGTCCCGGTACCAGACCATCTTGGCTCACTTTTCTTCCTTCACATCTCTGCTCACATCGTCCCTGCTCAGTGAGGCAGCCAACCTGCCCCGCTTCTGCCACGACTCCTGCTTGTCTCTACTTTGCCTTTTCACTCGCCTTCCTATCATCCTACGTCACCACGACGTATATTGTCTTCCTTTGTTACACTACAAGCACATTTGTTCTCCTGTGCCCATCGGTGGATTCCAAGCACTCACCACAGTGACCAGGGCTAGTCAATTAAATACCATATTTACTTTTATTTATTATGGTTATCCTCAATATTCAGTTACTTAGTATAGCCTGGAGCGTCTCTTCAGCCTTCAGTTTAACTGAAAATGCTACTCTGCCATGATTTCTGGAAATGCGATAAGCCAAGAAGTTTCACCGGTGTAAAAAAAACCTGTGTTTGCCTCATCAACAGAACTTAAGCAGGGATACCGTTAACGAGTGCTGTTAGCAAGAGTTGACCTGAGTTTCTACACATGCAAGTGCCAGGAATTAAGAGCTCCATAAAATCTCAAAAGAAGATGTGTGAACTCCTCACTTGTGGTAAATAGCAGCTCCTGTCAACACCATGGAGTAGTCGTTTGTCCACTTGGACGTGTAGCCCCAGCGCTCCTTGGAGTTATCCCAGAAGTGGCTCCGCGCAGGGTACCCTACGATCCTCTCGGGGAAGCTCTGCCACACGGTGAAGGCGAAATCCACCTGCAGGCAGAACACAGCCAAACAAGCAATCATCAGTGCTAACAAATGTCAACAAAACATTACCTTTCCCCTGCTAATTCATCATGTGAAATCCTGGGGCTGTTTTGAAACATTAATTCCATGTATTCATCAGCAAATTAAACTGACTGCTTGACATTTTGCCCCATAATTATGCACACTTTAATGTTTTCTGTGAAAGAAACTTGAGACCAGTGCTGAAATGAAAGAAAAGGGGAAAAGAGTTTGCTGATGTGTTTCTTCCCCTACCCCTTGTGGTTCGCGTGACTACTGATCCGCGAGAGGTACAGATACACGAGCTTATCCGTGAGAGCACATTCCCTGGACACAGCATCATGGCCAGCCTGTCCCTCAGCCGATGGGATACAAACTAAAGCATCACCTTACGAGATCAAGATTTGCCATCTTAAGAGAAAAGGCAAAGATTTTCTTTTTTGAAAGAGAACAGCCATACTGTTAAGTGACATAACCAGACACACACGCTTACAAGTTGCCTAGCCTCTCTTGTATGAGAAACCCAAAGTATAAATAAATAGGAGTCAAGAAAAAGATAGATGATAGAAAACAGGAAGACAGACCTCTTGTAAAAGGAGATCAAGAGACAGAAGGAGTGGGAAGAAAAACGAAATAAGATGTGTTATATGCATGTACCAACTCCCCACAATGAAGGCGATCATTATGCACTGCAAACATGGGCTAATATAAATAAAAAATTTTAAAACTCTCGAAAAAAAATAGAAAAAAGAAATTTTACTAGTAAAATTAAATTTTAAAAAATTAAAAAGAACACAAGTTTTAACAGGAAGGCAGAGTGGATTTCCCAAAGCAAACAGAATTCAGGGTTCTCAGGTTCAAAGACGCACACAGAACCAGGGAAATCTAGAAAAAGCCTCCACAGAACAGTCACTAAGAATAGGTAGAGATAAGGCCAGGTGAAGCGACAGGATTACAGAAGCCAGCTGAGTAACTTTCCAGTGCTCGTAAGAAAACCAAACACGGTGCCCTTGAACCTGCTGGAAATGAGCACATAAGCTTAACAAATGCTGTGTTTTCAAGTCTGTAAGCTCACTTCTGACTTCGCATGATTGTTTGATGAGTCATAAATAAAAAATAAACAGAAAATAAAAATACCAAAATAGTAACAGCAAACAATCATGTCATGCTGATGACACCTGCCGCTTAAACGCAGCAGCCACGCTGACAGGCACTTTCCTAACCCATTTCATCCTCACAGTGGCCCTGGAAGGTATTCGTTTACAGAAAGGAAAACAGATACACGAGCGAGCTGAGGACCAAGGAATTCACACAAGCCAGCTAGTGGCAGAGCCCAGCTTCAGGCTCAGGTAATCTGGTTTCATTTCAGGCTGTACAGTATTCTAACCTCTCTCTGGTGCTCTTGCTACAGTGTTGAAAGCAATGTATCTCTTCCGAGGCCACAATGCACCCTGTAACCTTTGTTCTGTCTCTTCCTGAGAAGCAGCACAAATGGAAATTTCATTTACAATGCAAATAGTGTAAGTCCCAGCACTGTGACAGCAGTTGAGGGACAGACGGATGCTAAACCAAGATCTTACTGTCAAGAGATTCAAAATTCTGCTGACTGATGAATGTGACCATATATTCAGCCATAAAAAGGAACAAAGAACTGACAGGTGCCACAACATGGGTGAACCTCAAAAACACACTAGGTGAATTGTCACACAGCATATGACTTTATGTTTGTCACAAGACAGAAAACAGCAGCAGTTGTCAAATGCTGGGAGAGACTCTAACAGGTACTGGCTTTTCTTGATGGATAGTAAAAATGTTCTGGAAGAAGAGAGAGACAAAGCTGGGTATACAGGCACAGGCCTGTAACTCCAGCACTCAAGAGGCTGAGGCAGGAGGATGGCTGTGGGTTTGAGGCCAAGACTCACTTACATAGCAAGACCCTGTCTCAAACAAATAAACAAAACAAAACAAAAAAAGACAGGTCACAATGACCAGACAACAATACTGTCAACGAACTAAATCCCACTGAGTTGTACATCTTCCTGTGGTTAATTTATGTCACATGAATTTTACCTCAATTTTAAAAAGATGGAACAAATAAGCCTAGATCAATATTTCCCAAGGCTTTTGCCACATTCCTGTACCACATATTTTACTACTTAAAATACTGCTTAAATATTTTGCTTTAAATTGGCTACATTTTAATTGGCTTCCTCCTAGGTAAAAAAATAAAATAAAAGATCTCATTGAAATCCTAAGAATGATTACTGGCTGTATTATTTTCTAACAATCATTAAAGTAAAACCATAATTGTTAAATAAAACATGCTCGTAATGAGCCACGGAAAACTATCTGATATATACAACTCATGTTCCAGGAAACTGGCTGGGGTGATTTTTAAAGGCCCTTTCTTTTACCACTCAATTCTTTAGTCTTAGTTAGAAGTCAATCTATTTTGTAAATAGCCAAACATTTACATTGTTATGAAAGACCAATTTGGTGCCTGTGCCGGTGAGGACCTTCCAACTTGGGTCCTTCCAACTTGGGTGGTCGCATTCCACCCGGGGAGGGACAGACTAGAACGAAGAGGGAGGAGGAAGAACTTCACTACTCGGCTGGATGTGAGCACAGCCCCTCTGGTTCCAAGGCCAGCAGACCAGCTGGACCACAGCACCCAGCATTCCTCGCTTCCATGATGGTGCGACTCCTCATGATAAAACTCGACGACATCCTCTGTCTTTGCAAAACTCTAACCTGCCGTCCTGTCTCCAAATCAGAAAGATTTATTCCGGTTCATTCTCCAAGACCACACCTTTCGGGGGACCAGGAGGAGTCGGGCGAACAACACACACACCAAGCAAACTCGGTGGGCAATGAGGCACCTGCAGATTCAAAGACAGCAGGGGAGTGCACGGCGTTGGCCAGAAAACCAAAGCTAAGTCAGCTCGGACCTGCCATGCTAAGGCTGCTGTCAAAGAAACTGCCCAGCGGTCAGCAGTCTTCTCCATCATTCTTTGGAAAGGAAACGCATGCATGGCAACCACTGTAGAATCCAGCGGGGTGTTTTCATCACACGGATTTCTTATTGTCTCAGAGCTATTTCAAGTCCTTTCAAAGAAACTCAAAAGTAAATCCAGATAAAACTATGATTCTTGTGATAGCTCTGCTTTCATGAAGATCACTAACACATCAGAGAAGGCAAAGGTCAGCTCATGGCCTGTTCTCTTAAAAATCAACATCTGTTTCCTTTTGAGGCTTTGCGGCAACCCACATAAATGTAAATAACTATAAAGCAACTATGTCTAATTCCTTTATGGGATGTTGCTGGAAAACCTATCCTTAATGCTGCAGAGGACATGTACACACCCTAAAAACCCTGAACAGAAACAGCATCTATCTACTCACCTAGAAAAAGAGAAGCGAAATCCTTGCCACAACCCTTTTAGGCAACACATCCATCCTACCTAGCAGCAGGCAGAAGCAAACCAGACCGCCAGCCTCTGAAATTTACATATCATTTTCAACCCACGTTAACTTCTAATTACTTCACATACAACACATGTTCCTCCCAGCATGCACCAAGGGGTTGGAATTGCTATTCTTTGAAAGGAAATCCACCAGCACGAAGATCTATCACAGCATCTGAATGTTATTACACCGTGAGACATGGAAAAACAAACCCCAGAACAAGACTAATTGCTGTGTGCCCAGGAGAAGATGTAAGAGGAATCAGGACTCTGGGTCACAGGATGGTGAGCAGGGCACGTGCTGGACGAGATCGGACCGTTTGTTCCACCTGGCTCCACACTACTTCCTGTCTTTGTCTTTGGAGGTGCATTCTCTACTCCCCTTGCCCTGTGTTTTGTGCTCCAGGATGACAGACTCCTGGGTGGACTGAACAGCACTGGTGGCTGGTGTTTGGCCAAGTTAGGCCAACAGGAGTCATCAGCAAGGGAATGAAAGGAGGAAAAGTTGGGATACCCCTTCCCTGCCTCCTTCCTACTTCTGCATGAGAGTTCTGGCAGCAGCTCTGCTTCTCCCCGAACATGGCTCTTGCAAGCAGGCCTGGTTCCCTCTTACTTGCATCTCAGGGACTTTGGCAACACGATTCCTTCTCCACTTCCTTCCAGCCTAGGGGCAGAACTTGCTTTCTGCTCTTGCTCCACCAGGTGCCTCACCACCGCAGGTGGCATCACTAAGCCCTCCCTGAGCAATCCCTGGGCCTTCCATTTGCATCATCTGATTTGAATTGTGCTTGATGCCAGGACTTCGACAGATGCAGGCAGGAACTATAACCAAAGAACCTGGCATGCAGTCCGGAACAGAGAAATCTCTCCAAAATACTTGCTGAATGACCATGCCAGCGTCCCTCAGAGGAAGCAGCAGCAGAACACAGGCTGGGGTGTCCCTGCCCTGTGTTTCATAGCTGTTTCCAAAGCCCGCTGAGCGTTAAGAGTGTTTTCTCTGCAACAGCCCTTCCTCCCAGTGACACAAGTGGCTGTGTTCACCCTTCATCCGCACAGCACCTGCTCCACACCACTCAGCAAGTATTTACAGAGCTTGGACAACACAGAAAATATTTCCACCGGGCAAGGCTGAGGACACTCGGTCCTCAGGTCCTTTAGGCTACCTCGTACATAATTCTGTTCAGCTCTACCTGATGGACATCAGAGGCGGCCACGGAATTTCAAGGAAGAGATGTCGAACTGTCCAGCCAAGGGCGACATCTAGTTCCACTGCTGGAACCAGACTGGGGCTAGGAAAGTAAGTGCTGGGAAGGGCCAAGGTTTCAGCTCAATGGAAAATTATTATGAATAAAAAGAAAAAGCAAATGAGGGGGAAAGGATAAATGGTTAAGATTCCATGCCTCTGAAAGCAGCTACTGTTACTAACGTATTTCTGATACACATTTGTACACAGTGGCCTTTGATCTCATCTATGACTTTACACATCAACACTCAATCGGGCTATAAAATTTAGTTTCCTATCACATCTGCCTCTCTCTGCCCAAGTCTCTCTCTTTACACATATTCTTCAGGCAATCTTATTTGGCCCTCATGCCTCAACACTCCAACGAGCAGGGGTCTCTATGGCCGCCTTGAGGGGTGGCTGTCTGCTCTTATTTACGTGGGGGAAACGAGGACTGCACATGAACACAGAACCAGAACGCTCTCCAGAGCCTCGCCAGAAACAGCACCAGGGCGACGGGGAAGGAGGGAGCGCCTGTGCTGGGCTGAACATTTAGGATAACGGTGAGCAAGACCCTCTCCCCCTCGGTTCTGCCCAGCTGCCCACGGCTGTGCTGGCTAAAAACAAACCAGGGAGGGTGTTGTGTAGATGAGGAATCAATTAGCAAAGAAACAAAGGGAACCGTGTCCTCCCCAAGGCAATGGCAAGGTGCCACCCGGAATCCAGCTCATTAGCGCCGATTCTGCAGGAAGTTTTGAAAAGTGTCTTTGCCTTCCACCACCATGGCAAGCACAAGAGACCACCTTGGGGCCGGGGCCCCTGCCGGAAGAGCCCGCTTCTCAGGGGGTTCTCACCTCGGTCGTTGAAAGCACAGTGTCCTCGTCCAGGCTGAGCACAGCGTCTGTGACGATGTTGTCATAGGGCAGGAAGCGGCTGCTCATCACCTGGGGCGGGCAGAATGCAGTGGGGAGAAAGGGGGAAAGAGGTCACGTGAGAGTCCTGTTTTCAGGAGGGTTCCCCGTCCTGACCTCCACCAAGAATGTTCTACACCAACACCGGAGGGCGACTCATTGGCTCAGAACTGTTCTTCAGTGCATCCATCTGCCCCAGCCCCTGCTGGTCAAAGGCGAGTGAGATGCGTGCCCTGTCTGTGAGGGACTGGAAGTCTGCAGAGCCTGCAAGTAGATGGCCAGTTCTAGCCTGAAAGGAAAAGATGCTGAGAGTGGAGAGGCCCGAGCAGCCAGGAAGAGGAGGAGGCTTTCCAGGAGAAGTGACACAGAAGGCCTCGATGGGTAGAAAGTCACCGAGTAGACAGGGCCTCCGCAGGTGCCCGAGCTGGAAGAGAAAACCACTGCCCACGGGGCAGCAGAGTGGAAGAGACTGGACTCCAAGCATGGCCACCCCCTAGGGCAGGGGCGCCAGCATTTCTGCTCTGGAACACATGGTCCCTTCAGTCCGGATCACGAAGAACACACACATCTGCACGGCAGCTATACCGCAAGGTCATCAGAAGGGAGGTTCAAATGATTTTATTAAAATGAAAAGTAAGGGCCAGGGATTTAGCTCAGTGGTTCTGTTACCTGCCTTGCAAGTGCAAGGACCCGAGTTCGATTCCCAGTACAAAAAACAAAAACAAAAAAAGAGTATGGCACATTAAAATGAAAAGTAAGTTACTTTGCACTTTAGGAATTTAAATAAATAGCAGCACAGGGAGCTCACAGACTTAGGAAATTTCTGAAGGTGGTATTTGAATAAATGTGGGGCAATTCCAGAGTTAGGCATGGTGAGATGTGTGTGTGTGTGTGTGTGTGTGTGTGTGTGTGTGTGTGATGCTTTGGGGATGATCTGGGAAAACGGGAGCTGAAAGGCCACTCTACGATGGTCACAGCTCACTTTGTGTGGATGCCTTACAGACTTATACCTCTGGATTATTTAGGGTGGGCCAGGAAATGTGCCAAGTCTCCGGACACACTGTCCCATTACATGTATAGGACAAACCACTTTATAAAGGGAAAACGGGCATAGAAACGTTGAGTTCATCCTCGAGATGGAACTGAGATCTCATCCCTGTGCACCTAAACCCCCAGGCCCTGACTGCACATGGGGAGACCCTACGGGCAAGGCACACTGGCCATCCACTGTGAAGGCCCCAAGGCAGGGGATGAAGCAGTTGAGTGCTGGAGGTAAAGGCAAAGGGAAGAGGGGGGCAGTTAACTGGGAGCCAGGGGGCCACTCTTACAAATCCGAGCACCTTAAGAAGCCCAACCTGTACCAATGCTGGGCAGGCCTGGGCTCCTGTTCGGCCCTGTGCCTGTGAAGCGACTGGAGGTCTTCAGACAGTAAAGAATGGAAAGCAGCCAGGTGAACCCACCTTGGGGCCCCAGGGATGCACCTGCTGCACAAAAGGCTGCAGGACTGCTGCTACACACCTGTCAACTGGGTTTCTTTTTCCTAAAAAAAGAAATCTTTTTCGGGCTTTCAAAATAAAATAAAACGCAAAGCGATTAGCAGCCCCATAAATACAGCACTGGGAAATCTCAGCCTGAAGCGATTCTCCTGGTGCTGTTTACATGTCCACCAAGGAACGCAAAAACCATTAGCTGCCAGCTTAGCAATGCCCTGACCTTTCCCTTGTTAAGCCTATGGGGGAAAACTGCGAAGACAAGGCCTATAAATTCAAAACAGAACTCTGCAGCCAAAGCAGTGCATGCATCAATTTTAAACTGCAAGTGAGGCACGGAGATTTTAAGATGGAGTATGAGGAGGACACAAGGCTTCTTCCCCACCATCTGGTCCAACTGCTGGCTTTCCAGGGAGTGCTTGCCTTTCTGTGAACCCACTTCATCAACAGACAGGCCACCAGTGCCTCAGCCAGCCACTTCCAAATCCCCCACCGAAACCGGAGGCTTTCTTAGCAATACTCTGCCTCAGCCACCTCCTTGAAAGGATTAAGTGAGGAGAACCAAAGCACACACAGGGGGCGATCTGCGTAAATCGGGGTTTCTCTGCTCATTTAAGAAATATTCAGCTACCCTATGACAGCCCAACTCTTTCTGAACGACCAAACAACTAGCAAATGACCAAGGCTCAAGAAATTTATTGTCTAGCAGGAAAGATAAGTAAAGCACACAGATAATAATTACACCAAGTACAACAGTAGTCAGCATCTTGGAGCTGGTCATATTCCCCAGGTTCCCAGCACATCTGTATATAGTGGATCATGCTGTTTGGCTTTCCTAGCAACCTCATGTGTTAGTTACAATGATCCCTTTTTTCCATTGATCCAGGAGGGACTAAAGCACAGGGATTGAGTAACTCACTCTAGGTCACACAGAAGTAAGTTGGATCCTAGTGCCCACAGTACAAGTTATGCCGTTACAGTGTCTCAGGAAAACCACCGACATTAATGGGAGCCTTGGAGCGCGTGTAAGAGGCACTGGGGTAAGTTTACCACCTTGTATGTCGGATCTCATTTAACTTACAACATAAGCCTCTGTCTTAGCCCAGGGCCCCGGAACTCGGAGCCCGAAGCAAGATGGGAGTTCAGATGTTTCGCTAGAAGGGACAACCCCAGGGCCCCGAGAGTCGGGCAGAAGGCATGGAAACACACGGCCCCCGGAAAATGGCAGCCACACTGCCAGGAGACCAGGTGGAAATCTGACTGGGAGAAGCTGCAGTATCCCCTCAGAGACCTCCATGAGCAAAGTCCTCTTACTCTCACTCCATTCTACAAAGAAAGTAGTTGGTAGTTTCTTTTCACTGAAAGTGAAAGTAGGAGATGCACCAATGATCAGAGCATGAAAATATGAAACCACCTAAAGTTAAAGGGCAAAGTCACATCTACTCAATATGAAGATCGGGTCACCCCAGAAAGCAGAAAATCCAAAGAAAGTCAAAGTCCAAAGTTGCCTGCGTCCACCTGAGCCCCAGCCGGCCTTCAGGCGTGGCGAACAGAACACTGTCTTCCTGCGCAGGCTGCTGGCCAGGGGAGATGGACAGAGGAGTCTTGTGTGCCAGTTGCTTTCCTGAAACCAAGGCCTATGGTGAGATGGAGCCACGTGGGTAAGAAAGACCCATGCCGCGAAGAAGCACCTCCTCTCCACAGATGCTGCCCAAGCACAGCCGCTCCGTGAATGCAGTGAGTCTTTCTGGTGTGCTCCCCAGGGTCCAGGCCTGATACACAGTGTCCAGTGCATAGCAGATGCAAGGAAGGGAACTGAACACATAATGCGCCGGTCACTGGTCCATGTGGCCATCACGGTTCTCGCTGCATTACATCGATCACAGGACTCTGCTTCTTTTGTTGACTCAAATGATGACTTCAAATGGTTTGACCTAAAAATCTCTATTTGTCATTCTGGCTCAAGGACGTTTCACCTGCTGGGAGTCAGTTTCTAGTGACTAATCCTTCGGAGACTCACAAAGTTAGTCACTTAGACAACACTGTTTCACCGATCTCAATTTCAATTAGTAGCTACTGACTGCTTCACAGTGGGGCAGATTAGAAGAAAACAACAAGCAGAAACTTGAGAAATGAGCTCACCTCTGGCAGCCAATAGGGGAAGAAAGTTCAAGGAGAAATTAGTGGGTGAGCAGGAGTTTAAAAATGTTTCGGTACAGACCCAGAGCGTGTGGAGGGTGCACACCGATGAGCTCAGTCGTACGTGCTGCCAGGAGGTGGAGCTTGGCCGGCAGCGTGAGTCACTGGGTGTGTGGCTGGTATTATAACTCCCTCCCTGTTCCTTCCTTCTCTCCCTGCTTCCTGGCTGCCACGAGATGAGCAGCTTTTCTCTGCCCAGGCCCTTCCCCTATAGCACATCTGCCTTGGAACCAGTCAAGCACGGACTAAAACCTTGAGCCCAAATGGACCCCTCCTCCTTCAAGTCGTGGCCGTTGGGTATTGCGTCTCGGCAATGAGGAAACTGACTAAGGCACAGTATACAGAGGAATTCTGGAAGAGACGAACTGAGGGGGCGTGGAAAGACCTACGGCAAATGGGAAGAGAAACGTAAGAGGTAGGAAGACCACAGGGCAGTTGAGATGAGTGTAAACAGTGTCTGTAGGGAAAAGCCACGAGAGAGCACCGGAAGGCTGGCTTGAACCACATCCCGCGTGGTTTCAAACATCAATCTAAACCTCAGGAGACAGCGTCCCGAAGAGCCACAAGGTGATCAGGAGATTATTTACTTCTAGGCAGAGTGGATTGGAAAACAGAAGCCCAGGCCAGCAGAATTAATGAGATTCTTTGGAAGGAGAAATCAAAACAAAATCAGGGTGAAAATGTCCCTTTTTAGGTAAATGCAAAGAAAGACTACTATTCTTGAAGACACAACTCATCTGCATCAACCAGCTAAGCGAAGCTTGTGTATCACCACCAGCAACTGCCTTACCCCGACCCTCAGCATCTATGGGAAGATTACCACTGCCAGACTCTGAGTTCATTTAACCCTATGATGGAGGCAATCTTCCCTGCACTCTGTGCTGAGGAAAGCCAGGCTTCGAGAATTTACGAATAGACACAGAGTCGAAAGCTGACAAAGGGTTCACCCCAAGATCCGGGTTTTGCTGATGTGAAGGCCCATGGCTGTCAAAGCAGAGGATGTTCTGAGTTCAGATGCACAGTTTTAGAAAACACAGGCCGGGACAGCACGAAGACTTCTAGGGCCAACCCCTGAGGGACCCCTGCAGACTCAGAGCTCTTGCCGGTTGCACAGCTGGGTCCCCACAGGCCTACCTTGCTCTCTCCTTCAATGACGATGACAGGCACGGCAGTGGCAGGCCAGCGGTGTTTGGCTGGGAGGGGCTTGTCACAATTCCAGAGGACTATGATCTGAAAGGGACAGGGGTCGTTACACAGCAGTCTCAGTGTATCTATGTCAGCCTCCAATCCAGTCTCGTTTTAGAACAGAGAGAAAAAGGAGGCAGCTGGAGCTCTCAGCAAGGCAAAACGGCAGACAATAAAACTGAATTTTAAAGGGCACCCATTCCCAAACAACCTTCAGCACCAGGGGGTGGGGTCGGAAGGACAACCTAAAATTTGTGTCCAGGGGCTAAGGGAAAGCTAGAGGAACATGAAGCAACTTCAAGGTTGCTGGAGCTTAATAAAGTGGCTTTCTAAATTCCTATCCCTTACGATGATGCATAACTCTGATCAAGCTAAGTAAAAATGCACACCAAACATCTGAACAGCTGCTCCGAGCTTGCACTACACCAGGCAATGTGGGAGAAATAAAAAAATTCAAGAAAAAACTAGGATGAGCTCATGTTTTGGATTTTCCAGAATGGCTGCTGATTTTATGTGACTTTATAATTTCCAATAAAGGCATTTAGTTAAAAAAAATACACACTTCAACATGATTTGATTCTTTCCTAGTTTGTAAACCTTGTCTACACTGATTCCACAAGTGAGAAAAACCACTGTTGGGAGTACGGGAGTGATACTGATTTGGAAAATATCGTTATCATAGACATCCACACCCAATGTTAGAACCAGTAAAGGTGGCCGTGAGAGGAAGGCTGATTCCTCCTGACACCAAGTCTGTTGCTTCTCTTGAAACTTAAGTGTTCGGTGGTTCCTCCAATGGCCTTTCAGATGTTACTTTATCACCCTAGCATGTGAGAGACAAACGATGTGCTTGTCTATTCTTCAGAGAAAATGTGTGTGTGTCGGCTTCACACAGTGCAGCGTCTCTCTGTGACTAACCCGGTGCCGGGACCGCTTTCCCTTCCTCTAAGTGGGTGGAAAGCTTAACGAGGTTTTGGTAAGACGAGGGGTAACCGGGAGCCAGGTGCTGTGCAGGGTGGGGAGGGGACAGGTGCACTCACCTGGGCGCAGTACTGAGACTTGGCTGCAGCTACGAGCAGCTTCAACACTGGCTGGGACTGAGAGACAAGGGGGGTGACCGCATGGATGACTGCAGTGAATTTGGAGGGGGGCTTTAAACCTGGAACAGCAAGCGAGAGGAAGCCTGATGGACTCGCGAAAACACGACTTAGAAAATGACTCCTTCCTGCTCCACTGCTTCAGCTTAGAGCTAAGGGCCCCTTCTGGCTCATTTCCCTTCGCTCTTGTGTCCCGACAGTACAGGAACAAGGTGAAAAGGTGCTACTCCACCACGGGTGCATTGCAGGTCCAAGTGTACGTCTGGGCTCTTGCTTGGCTGGCCTCTGCCACCCTTGCAGCCACTTCTTCGATCTCCCCGTGGCCGTTTAGGTACCCAGTGTCCACACCCACACCCACACTCCTGCTCTCAAGGAAGGCTTTATTCTATCACTTGCATCCAATGCAAGTTGACATCAATGGGCTATTTCTCTTAGGCCTTTTGCACATATCTGATTCTTAATCACGCAATTAGGGGTTTGGCCTGAGTAACAGTATTTCAAATAATGACTTAATGACTAGCAAGTGGGAAAAGTTAAAAGAACCAGCTTCCGGAGCCTCACTGTCTAGGTTTAAATCTTAGATCTGCTGCTCGGTGGTTGTGGGATGCTGGGGTAATTCCTTGACCCTTTGTGTTCCGACAGCTGTGAAATGGGGCTGCAAGTAACAGTACCAAACTGAGTGGGTAAAAAGTGAATGCACACAGGCATTTAGGGTGAGTAAGAATTATAAGAGGTGCTCCGTCTGCACTGGTGGTTACCACCACCACCACCACCTGCACCTCCACCACCATCAGAATGTCTCCATACTGCAAAAAATCTCCTCCTTGGAAAGCAGTGACACAGCGGAGACAAAAAGTGTGTGATGCAGACTCCTGCCCACTGTAACTCAGAAGCCCTAGGCCGAAAAGGACCATAAACACACAAAACAACCACTGCCACCAACGAGAAGTGAGTTGGTTTCCCCCAATGAGTCTCCTATTAAAAACTCACCAAGAAAGTAGAAGCAAGCTAAGAGCCTTCTAAATTCTCATTAATTTGGACTCACTAATCTTGACATTTTGGTAGCTTAAATGTGAACGAGGGAGTGCAGGGACGTTTGAGCTAAGTTTTGCTATTGATGGGATAAAGGTAAGACCTGGACTACACATGGTAAAGGGTTATACACATCATTTGTAGAGAAGGTTATATCGTCCAATTAGCACTTTAGCCATACACTAGAAAGGGGCTTCCTTCCCACTACTGACTACACATTCGGGCAAGAAGAATAAATATGACTGAGGAATTAACTGCCTTTCGAGCAGCTGAAACAAGTCACTGCTTTTAGATTTTTCTGCAGTCATTTAAGAAGCATCGTTTATACACCTCTAATGTGCTAACTCCAAACAAAGATGGCAGAAATACAAAAAAAAAATGTGGAAATTCTTAGTCACTGCCTTCACTGGACAGCTACTAAGCTCTAAATATATCACCCAAAGTGGATCGCTCGCTGAATTTCATGTGGTCCCCTTTACACGCTTGGTTCAGAATAAAGGTGTTTTGTTTTTTTGGTCACCAGGGGATATTTCACACCTCAAGATTAAATTTAAGCTCCACCTTTTATTTTTTAAACTTGGCTTTGGGCTTAGACGTGTGTAATGTTAAAAAGGGTAAGGTGGTTTTAAACAATAGCAAAGAAAGGGAACTGTTGAGTTCTTTTGCCACATCAACTTGAAAGACGCTTTGCTCTTCCAAGGTTTCTCAAGGTCGGATTGGATTGGAGGGAGGTGTCCAGGATGAGCTGATTGGGTCTCCAAATACCTAAGTGCCCCAGCAAGGGCAGAGTGGCATTTCTAGAGTTTCATCCTTGTGCCCATATGGTGATTCAACACTGCTTTAGAGCAGAAATTATTTATTTCAAGTGCATTTCTTGTTTCTCGTGTTGCACTAGCAGAGTGCACTTGAGGAATATAAAGGTCGAAAGAATGCATCTATTTGCCTTCTCATATATTCTTAGCTATTTCTCCTCTCCCCTTAGTAATTCAGTTTTTCCTTGGTATAGAAGAGAAAAGTGGGGTTGTGGAAAAAAATTAGGGAGAGCTCTTCTAATTCTACTTTATATACGATGAGACTTGTATGTATAGCTAACCCACTGTCTTGTTCAAAGTGATCCACCATTTGGGGGACCTATTTAACAATAAGAAATAACTCTATTAAATGTAGCCAGTAGCGGCTCATGGGAAAAACCGTTCTCCCCCTCCCAGTGTTCTGTTGGGCCTGTAATTCTTGAACCCGATATGATATTAGCAACAAGGCTCAGAAAGTAATCTCCGATGCAGGCTGCTGGGAAGATCCCACTATTGGACAGAAAAAAATCACAGGGCTTTAGTTCTGGACACTACCTTGAGGATAAACAAAGGCAGCTCCCTGGAAGGAAGTCACTCACCTAAATTAGCATAGTAGTAAGGAAAATCTCCCAGATACGATGAATACTGTGGTAGTACGAACAGTCCTCCAGGATGTTTGTTCCATATTAAACTGTTACGTGATATGTGCTTGAATATTCTGTCCTGAATAATCTAGAAAAGGAAAACAGCATGTGCTGAGGATGAGACCCTGTTGATATCAGATAGGGATCTTGCTTAATCCAAATTCGAGGGATGATGGCGTTCAAAGTGTGAGCCATCACACCTCCCCCAGACCTCCACTCATAAAAATGTCTGCAAGACAGAGAGAAGCGACATACGCATGGAAAATGGTGTGAGGAAGAGATGGATGACGGTGGTCACATTTCCTAAGTAAACGTTAGTTTAACCACGAATTCCACCCTTGCTTTCTCTCACAGCGAGTCCATACTCTTTTGAATGTGAGGGCGAAACGTGTGGCAGTGGATCCACAAGACGTGGTCCCACTTCACAGAGACGCCAGTGTAGACCACGGAGACACAGAACGGGACACACCGAACGCATGACGCATTTCTGAGGCTGGCGAGGATTTGATTTGCTCCTTTAGATCAGGAGGTAGGTTTCTTGGCTTGGCATATTGCATTTTCCTTTCTAAGTCAAGTGTATGCTTTGGGTACTGGCTGGCTGAAGTAAATTCCTTCTGTATTTCAACCTCCAAAAATAGTGAGTCAATAATTTCTCAAAATATCCTACATAGTAGGACAACAACCACAGCATATGAAGACTAAGAACAGTTAAGCTAGTTCATTAGTTTCTTTGGACTTCTTTGGATCATTAAATTCTACATTTAGAGTCAAATGTTCACCCTTCCTGAAACACTTGTCAGTTCAATGTGATTGGCCCACTTCAGGGCTTTCTCTCTCTGACTTCCAAACTCTTGTAATTACACCGTCCACTCATTAAGATATGACTTGGCAAGTAATTAACTTGATGCAGAATTTTATGTCTCTGGCAAATTTTTTTTGTGCTAAAAAAAAAAAAAATCCTAGGGGCTGGGAGTGAAGTGCAGTGCTAGAACATGTGTTTAGCAGGGATGAGGCTCTGAGTTCGATCCCCAGGACCATTTTCCAGGTCCCCATTTAAGGCAATGCGATTTTAAGTACAATCCATTGAAAATGGAGCTTTATTACTCGCTGGGTTATTGGCACCCTCATCTGATCTCCTCTCACACGGTGACTGGAGCAGTGAGCTACAAACATCTTTGCCCACCTTATCCTGCTTATTTTCCTAGTGAGAGAGAAGAAGGGAGGGAGGCAGTTGAGGCAAGCACCAATACCTTACTTCAGTGATTTCTACATTTTCTCTTTCACTCAGAGCAAAACTGCTAATTTAATATGACAGGGGAGAGGTTTCTGATTTGGTGGCAGTTTAGGAAACGAGTTAAAATACTGATACTTACTCTCTGCTACAGGAGGATGTATTTTACTCTATTGTCGGCAGTAATTCTGAGAAGACCGTCTCGGTTGTAGAGGGTTTTGATACGGCTAGCAATTTTATTCTGTGCAACATTTACTCCCATTTTTCCTTGTAGGTAGGCTTTCCAAGTCTACTGCCTATGTATTTCCTCTTAAAGTTTTAGTTTTTCCCCCCACATGTACGTGCCTTTCAGGATGTGGTTACTTAAATAAGTTTGGGTATCAAGACACAACAAACTGGCAATCAATACCATCGTGCCTCTAACCTGCCAATGATATGGCAGGGGGAGATGCTCCAGTCTGGTCGCCATTCACGTGATGCATGACGGTGCGTTCTGCAATGTGAGAGCCCACCTACCTGTACGGTGCCACAACATTACCTTTTAAAATTCTAAGGCATGACACTCAGTTATGGAACTCTTCTGAAATATTAATATGCATCCTATACTCTCTTCAAATGGATCCTGACAAAAAGCTATCAGCGGCAGGTATGAGAAAGAGCAGTAACAAATGCTGAATTTAACCTTGGCCAAGCAATTTGCCACATTTATTTCTCACCTTCCTCATCTGTGATAAAGGGAATTTCACATTAATTACAAGGGCCTCTCAGAATTTAAGAGTAGCCGCCTCTCTTTCCACATGAAGGCTTGATTCTAGCCATTAAAAGAAATTCTCATCCCAGTGTTCATTTTTTAGGCATAAACTTTTCCATTTTTGCATAGACTGTGCCCTAGAATTCATGGCTTACTTATGCTGAAAGACCACTGGTGAGGCAGTTTTTTCCATCAAAGGAAAGAAGATATTTATGAGTAGGATTTTTCCACATTTAGTATTGATTCTTTAGGACTTTGGTGAAGTATATGAACAGTTAAGGCTGTCCACATGTTTTATCAAACACCTTTCTAAAAGAATGATATCAACGTGCCTTGTCGAAAGTCTGAAAGAGCATGGATCTCATTTCAAACAGAAACATCCCCTTTCCTCTCTCCTAATATCCAATGCTCCTCATCACCGTGCTGGACAGCTCCCAATATTCTGTCCCGCACGCAGCACTTACGTTTGTTGTTGTGGGAGAAGATAATCACATTTAGAAGTTGGACACTTCTGGTCTATGAGGAAAATCAACCCATTCATACACAAAACCACACACGTACACATTACAGGATGTGTTTTGGGAAGGGAGGTCCTAAGCGGGACCTTCAATAAAGATAATATTTCTTATTAAGTGAATTCAAAGGGAAGAACTACAGGTTCCTCTTTATGTGCCATTTTGATTAGAAAATAATGGCTAAGTGGTTATTAGCCATTCTGTGTGGCTCTGGCTGTTGCCTTCTGCATACACTGCTACCGTATACCGCCTCTCTCAGAGCTAAATAAAGCAATCTTTCATTTCTATAACCTCATTGATTTAAAAATGATACATATAACAGCATCCACAGTATCAGGGTTTGAATATGCATAGCCAGATGTGAGGAGGAGAATGTAGAAAAATTCATAAAAGTCCCTAAAAATTTGCCCTCCAGCCACCATCAGTTGTTTCCATTATAATCTCATGCACTTTTCTCATGCTCACCTGGACACCTGAGCGCCTATGGTTCAAGTCTTACTGCCAGGGTATCATGGCAATAGTCTGACAAACAAAGAGACACCCGCTGGTATCTTACGTTCGTCCCCATTATTTCTCCTCGACTTGCACAGAGAGCTTAGCACCGATGAATTCCAAGGTGCAGCATTGGGAACTTTTCTCACCCAGAAAATCTAACAGAATCGCAGCCACGCTTGAGAGCTGCATGATGAAATAAGTATCCTGATAATTTCAGCTTGGCTTTGGAGAGAGAGATGGGGAATCCTGTTTTCCACTGTGCCTAAGTACCACGTACAACTCTTAAGGTCATGGTCCCAAAGACACAGTAATCCCACTCCCTTGGCCTGCAATACAGGAAGGGAGGAAGAAGAACCCAGAATTCTGGAGTCTGAGCATGGAGCAGCTTGAGCAAAGAATCCTCAGGGCTATGCTGCCACAGGTTCCCTTTGAATTGTTGTCATAATTAAGAGTTCCAGCACTGATCAAATGACTTATGTAATCGAATTTCTACACCAGGGGACATTTTTGATATATGGTACTTAATTGCTAATATGTACACGCTGGGTTTGCTTATCCATGTATGCGGGTGGCATTTTCTGCTATTTCCCCTGCTTTTCTGAGCATGCTGAATTCTGGGGTGATCTCAGTTCTGAATTGAGACGGGACAGTGAATGGTGTCTCTCACGCACCCTGGTCGAGAGGTCAAATTGTCACAATCTAATCTTGGGATGCTATAAAGAGATGGACGGCTGCTGTACATATGAATGATGTATATGGATTTCAGTGTTTTAAAAAGCAACTGTGTTGCTAAAGAAATGGGCAGCTTAAATCTAAGTGGCAGAAAGCCCTTTCAGGCTCAGAGATGCAAACAGCTTGACTTAAGATCCTGTTCTGATGAGTACAACACACCCAAGGGTTACTACAGGATAATGGCCCACTGCTGACTTACTGCACAAGAAAATGGATCTCTGCGATAAACCGAACTCAAAAGAAATGTAATTAATAAAGCGGGGCGTGGTGGTGCACGCCTGTGATCCCAGCACTAGGGAGGATGAGGCAGGAGGATCACTGAGTTTGAGACCAGCCTGGGCTATGTAGTGAGTTTCAGGTCAGTCTCAACTACATAGTGAGACCCTGTCTCAAAAAATCTACAAAAAGAAAAAAAGAAAGAAAAGAAAGAAAAAAAAAATACGGTCTTGCAAAGGTGTGTGTATGTGTATTAATTATGCTCCTTAAGTCTGATGATTTATAGCAAGTAAAAGTCTACCTCTGACAGCCAGGGAGAGTCTAGGGCAATGATGGCAAACCTTTTAGAGCTTTCAATGATAACAAACAGTCGGCTGTACCATGCATGCCACTGGTCTAGGCTGATACAAATTTTATGAAGAGCAATTTGGCAAAAACTAAACAATGAACCCTAAGTGTGCCTACATTCTTGGGCTCAGTAATCTCATTGGAGGACTAGATCTTAATGAAATAAGCAGCAGTGCAGTCTAAGACACATGCAGAAAGTCACAAAGACAATTATCCATGAAAAATAACATTAATAGTAAATAAATACAGGTTGGGTAAGTAAATAGAAGTTTACTATTGGTTGGTATAATAGGGTGAAAAAAGTTAAAATGTGTACTCTGGTCTATTAGAGGGAGACACCAACAGGACACATTAGAAGACCATAGACACAATCAAACATGCATAACAATGGCACACTAAACACCAAGGCAAAAATAACAAGAAATGTACTGAGACAGCTACAAATGGATCAATTTAAACAAAAGAAGAGAATGGGTAGATTATTCAACACAGATCACACATAAAAGTAAATTGGATTAGACAAATACCTAAATGTAAAAAACTATGAATGTTCTAAAAATATGTGTTTCTATATGAGTATACACAGATAAATAGAACTATGACTCCAAACTGTGCCTTCTAAAAAAACAGCAAATGGAGAAGCTATAGATGAAAACATTGACTAATCATAAACAAAACAGAAAGGCATACTGTAAGTTGGGGAGAAGCATTTGCAACAAAAGAATCAAAGGATTAACATTTTTAACACAATAAGCTCTTATAAATTAATAAGACATAAGTAATATTGCAACATTCCTTTTCTCTTTGTGAGTTGTCTGAGCAAGAAATATATAAAAATATTTGTTTTTAGTAATAGCTTAAGAAATATAAATTAAGAAAATGATTTATTATTTTTTAAGGCATAATATCTAATATTAATAAAAAATAAAATCCAAAATAATGAAAACAAGTCCTTCCATGTTAGCTGAAAGACTACATAAATATTTTGGCTCCACTGTGGGAAAATTAACAAATGACATTAGAATCCTCAGAATTTGGCATAGTCTCTGAATCAGGACATTCAGTTAAAATTTATCTTCAGAAAGTGATCTTGCATCTGCACAATTTAGCTTTGAGGCTGTTTGCTTTGATTATGTGTATGATGATAAGAAACTAGAAACAATTATAACGTATCTAAATTGAGAATATAAGCAATTAAGTGATATCATAAATGAAATATTATAGTTATTAAAATAATTTTCAAATAATTCAAATTACAAAAATACAGACATAAGAAAATCTTAACAACATATCACTCAGCAGCAAGACATGTTATACTGCCAATCTAGAAATGTATTTTAAAAATTAAAAACCACAACACATTTTTCATTTCTACAGTGGTTTGTATGGGGAGCTCTTTTTAATGCTTTAAGGATTTTCTCAACTGAACATGCACTTCTTTGATAAAAAGCACCACTTACTCCAAAAAGTAACGAATAAAAATTAACTTTCAACTTTATTTACTATCTCGAATGGACAACAGGGTGGCTCTGCCAAATGTTCCAATGCGCCAGGGTGGTCAGGAGCGAAAACTCACAGCTGGAACTGAGGGCCGTGCTGCTTCCAGGGAGGAAGGCGCCGGCAGGCCCAAAGCCCTGCCACTGTCTGGGGACGAGCTGGGCCCATTTCGCCCACTCCCAGGACGGACACACAGGTGGCTTGTGGGAGGTACAAGCAGAAGCCCAGTGCACTCTGACACCCTCGATGGCTATGAAACCGCCGTGTAGAGCCACAGGGTGCCTCCTGGGGTGCCACAAACGTCATCTGCCTTTGGACGAATAACTCTTCCAGGGACAGCGATAAATGCCCCCACCCCATTCTGGGGACCTCTCTCAGTCATCCGGGTGCTGCACCTCCCTGAGGACTCTGCCCTTCCTCCTGCAAGCCTGGAACTCATCAGGCTTGTGGTTTTCTAAATCTTTTCTTAGCTCTCTGCACTGCTTGGGTGCAGACTCTGGCCACTGCGTTCTGCTCTACTCCCAGAGGTTCTAATCATCTGCATGTTCCCCCTTCCTTCTCTCCTTCTGCCTTAAGAAAAACAACTCGAAGGTGGGCACTTATCAGCTTAGAAGAGTTTCTGCTTTCTTAAAGCTTAACACTTTCTGCACCAGGTGGTTGCAACCCCAATTTTCCTCTCAACATAATCTTGCAACACATATGCTGCTTGGCCGGACTGCGTATGTCCTGAGAATTGATTCTGCTGCCCCCGACGCCACTGGTCTGTGATGCCCACTAATATATCCCCATTTCTGGAGAGGTAGATTTTCTCCTACTGGCCATTATCTTTCTTCTAAGTGAACTGAACTGTGTCTTCAAAGGATGCTTCCAAGTGTGAACGGCAAGACATTGCACGACATCAGAGCCGGTCTCTCCCCACGTCCGTTATGCTCTTGGAGATTGTCGGGAATCAGGGTATTTGCTCAGGCAAGACCAAGCAGATCAAAGGGGGTAAACCAACACACCCAAGTACAGAGAATCTGGTCTTATACCCCACTCGGCCAACTACACACCATCAACAGCAGAAGTGAAAGCCAACACAAGCGAATAAATATTCACGGCCACGAACCAAGCAGTCTCACTTACCTCTAGTGTAGTTAATACAATCTTCTCAACTGAAGAAAAATAAGCCTCCCACAAGAATTGTGTCTGCTGTCTAAGTGCTAGGATTTTATCCTGATGAATAGACCTGATTGTAGAAGGAATCTGTAACATAAAGTGAACACATAGTAATTTTAACTGTAAAACAAAGAGATGTGCCTGATCTAAACAACCCAACTGGGTTGCACTTTTATTCCTCATAGCATCAAGCCTCTAGCACACAGAGCAAAATCAGCAGCCCCTAAGTAGAAATTCCCTGAGAGGCTTTCCAAGCAGTCGGCTCTTAATGCATTGAAGTTATGCAATAACTTAGTTCACATCAAAGACTCATCTGCAGCTAGGTAGGTGCTTAGAGTGTTCCGATAGTCACAACTGCTGTTTCTTCCTCTCAGATCCCCAGGCATCTTCAGTCCTGCACATGGACAATCAAATTCTACAGACAGTAGCTACAGGCCCCTGGACTTCATCCTCCACGCACTTTTAAGGTTATCCCCCCAGGACCTCTAAAATAGCTATCGAAGGGCTTTGCAGGAACACTGAAGAGCCGCCCCATCCAACCAGAAGCCAGGGTTAGATGCTCCTACATGCACATCTCTCCTTCCTCCCACTGGGAGCTTTCTCACTCCCTCGGTCTCTTTCTGGCTCCAGCCCTTACCCAATTTAATTGCAACTTTCACACATCATACATCTTTAGCTGCATGCTACTCTTCACCCAGCTAGACAATCTTAAAAGAAGATCTTCTTTCCTATCCATCCTCTATACATTTTAAGGCTAGAAGAGTGGTGTCTTATATAGTAGTTATTAAGAAACAAGAGCTGAATGTAACATAACCTTTTGAAGCCACTATCATCAGGACATCGTCATTTTTAATAGTTTAGCTTAATGCTCAACCCTACAGGAGCTGGACAGTTTGAGATAGGATTTTTGCCTCAAGCTATGCTTCCTTGGACTGGCCAGGCAATCTCGCAAAAGCTCCATTTCCTCACTTATGAAATAGGGAAAATGAACATTACACAGTCTAATGACGATTATGTAAGTTCTGGCACAGAGCCATAAAACAGGGCAAGTTTAGTTAATACAGCTTGTTACTATTGCTATCATTATTATTATTGACATTAAGATGGAACCATTCTAATCTGGATCCCTTGATTCTATTCAGTGTTAGGCCAACTGTTAAATGCCTCATTGAACCTGCCTGGGTCTGGACCTCTGAAATGGACTTCCTGGGTCTCTGGCTTGCTCCCTATTTTCACCTACAGTTCAAGGTCTGTTTCACTTACGGAGTCTCTATTCTTCGCAGACATTCCTTGTGACTAGCCAGTGCCCTTTTGTGCTCACCTGTTTCTGCATGCTTGCCTCCCGAGTGCATGACTAATCAGACAGACATGGGAGCCCAGGCTGAAAGGGGAAGGCTCAGTCCGCTACGTGAATAGGGAAGTTGAAGGAGGCTGTAACTAAGTTCCCACTAGAGGGGAAGAGACGGCAGCACAGATTTCAGACTCTCCTCGGGAGGAACAAGGAAACTGCTTTGTAACTAACAGGAACAGAGGGAAAAGTTCGAGTGCTTTGGCCATGTCCAAAACTACATCTGGGCCCCAGAGCAAGCGCGTGGACTCACAGCATGCACGTGTGCACACACGCACGCACACGCACGCGCACGCACACACACACACACACACACACAGTCTGGCAGGAAACGTGAGACCCAAATCAAGACTTCCAAGTCCAACATCAGTAAGACATCTTTGGAGAAGATAAAGTATTCATATCATGAATCCCTGATAAGTCCGAGAAAATTTATTTTTACTTACTTGCTGAGAAAACTACCACCTAGACTGTCAAAGAAAGATTAGAAAAAAACTGTCATCCTGTTCATTTTCCACAATCATGCCCTTTTCAGTGTCAGCGGTCATCCTGAGTTGGCTTCACTGCTTTATCAGGGTTACGAGGAACTGATCCATTCGACATTGCCCAGAGCTACCACCACTACGTGGTCTCCAGAAAATGGCACCTGCTATGGTTCTGAAAGGCGAGAGGAACATCAGCGGTTCTCCCACCAGGGGGACTCGTGGTCTCACACAGCCACAGCTCGACTTCTCCCTCCAGCGCGGTGAGTGTCACCAGTTTGTGCGTATGACTCAAGCGTCTGACAGCAGCAGCCTGCCCTACCAAGTACCCCAGAAGACAACTGCAACGGACTGAAAAGACAGAGTTCCAGGATTTGTTTGGGGTTTTTTGTGTGTGTGGATTTTTGAGACAGGGTCTCACTAAGCAGTTGAGACTGACCTGGAACTCCACTATGTAGCCCAGGCTGGTCTGGAGCTCACAGTGATTCTCCTGCCTCAGCCTCCCGAATGCTGGGATAACAGGCGTGCGCCACCACGCCCAGCTTCAGAGTTCCAAGTTTTAATGGCATTTGGCTATTGGTTGTTATTCCGCCTGTCCGAGACGGGGTATGGGAAAGTGATAAATTAATTCCAATTTGACTGGACTGTTTTGGAATTTGAGGAACTCCACCAAGTCTCAATAAAAGGTCATGTGTAGTAACGAAAGTAATAGGACCTAGCAAAATAGACCTAGAGAAGCTCTGTCGGTGACGTGATGACAAGGATATATGCAAATAAAAACATCTGAGCTGTTCTAAAACAGGAAATGAAAAGTCGTAACGTAACAAAAACAGTTCCCAGAGCACAGATTTGGGCTCAGCGCCAAGTCTTTAAGACCACTGCTAACGACAGCACAGCCACTTTTCAACGTGGAGACAGCTGTGCAAAAGCAGCCTTCGGACGGGACGGGAAAGCACCAGCCAGGGTGGGTGGGGTGTGAAGAATACAGTGTCCAGACGTAGAAATACTCAGCAAGTTTGGCGAAATGGTAGAAACTGGACAGCCACAAGGAAGGAGCCCGGAATGCTGCCCGTCCCTAAGACAGACTCCAAATGCACTCCGATCAAATTCTTAGGCGCCTTGGCAGTCAGTGGTGGTTTCCATCCCCTGTGTTTCCCAAATCTCCACCAACGGGCACGTGTTATTGAAGGGAAAAGACGATGCAGAAAAGCACTACCTAGATTTCTTTGCTTGGCTTTTCACAGTGAACAGTGGGGGTAGACGCTCGCTCTGGGCGGGGCCTTCCTCAGCAAGTCTGTAAGGATCTCCCGAAGGAATCCGAATGGGGGATCGCTGCCATCAAAGCAGTCCCTTCACAAATCCTCTAGACTCCTTTCTCAGCAAACACCTGAGAAACCACCTCATCTTTAGGGCAGAATGAGACAGCCCAAATGAACAGCTTCTGCCATTCCAGATCTCATATTTTTCTTTGGTTTCATTTCTGAGGTTCCAGCCACCACCAAGGCCTTGAGGCCCAAATGAAAGGAAAGTTGGTGGAGCTGTGATCGGCTGGGCTTTCCTAACCCATTGCTCACTCAGTCACTGATATTTCACCTGCTGCTTCAGGGAGAGCAGGGCTGCATTGCTTTCTCAGCCCACTAGCACACCAGCCAGCAGCACAGAAGCACAATCAATAACAGTCAGAAATGCAATTTTCTAGATATCAAAAAGAAAAAAGGAAAAAGCAAAGACATTAAGGATAATCTTTCCAGAAATACTTTTGGTGATTTAAAGATAAAATGTAAAATATCATGAAAGAAAACCATTAAAGTACTCTACAATTTTTAGAGAAGAGAGCAGTGATTTATGGTGAACTTCAAAACTACTGCACAGAGAAGCTTTTGGAATCCATCCATACTCTTGCCTCTGTATTTCTCCGAGTACTATGTCCTCCTCTCTCCTCTGAGCAGTTCAGACTGTTCGAGGGGGCCGCTCTCTTAAGTAATACCCGAAAGATAACACCAGTGAGGGCACCCAGGTGGGTGCTCATGCTAAGTACAAGAACTGATCCCAGAGTAATCTGAAGGTGAAAGCAGAACCAGGGAGAGGAACTTGCCACAGCACAGTGCTATCGTTTCTAAGCTCCTGCTTGCTGCAGGGAGTAGAGAGGCACCTCTTCTCACCATCACACTCATGCTATTTATCTGCAACTTTTCTTCCTGACATATTCTGTGGGCCTGGATAGATTTTTGTGTTGGAAGGTGAACAGTATCGTATCAAATGACTTCTTATTCACCATGACACAGGCCCTTTCTTCCTGATAAAATTTCTTTTATGGCGCTGACCTTTTGAATTCATCTTCTTTGAAAGTTTAGACGGGGGCAGCAATCATCCACTGATGGGTTGAAGGCCACAGCCCCTTCCTTACCTGTAATAACAATCTCTCATCGCCTATGACGGCAGCTTGGTTCCAATTAATCACTTCAGAGAACGGCAGCTCCCATCCATTGCTGAGCATCACAGGGACGCAGGCAGCCTGTGTGAAGAAGGGATTCGAGGCGTGTGAGGGAGGCAGCTGAAGAAGCCTCCCCATGGAGAGTGGAACCAGCACAGACTCAGTTACAGGCATTTCTGCTCTGCACAGAACCCGGACTGCTCGGGGCAGGAGCAAAGGAAGCTCTCTGGAACTGTCAAGACACGTGAAGGTCACATGTTTCCAGCCTGCATTTTCATATCTGCAAGTCTTTCCCTGGAATGCTAACACCCCATTGCCATTCTGGCGCAGGGTCTGGCTGACCTTACCTTCCTGGAGGTTACTGGCCTAGCCGCAAAGTTTTATCGATGTAACAAAAGCTTTCACTAACAAAATTCAACCATGAAAACAACCTTGAATATAAATGATTCTGTCAGTGGAACGGCACACTAGCCAAGTGGTTTAACTCAATGGTAGGAGCAAGAAAGAGCAGCTCAGCTGTGCTATGGAGCATTCTGTGAACTTCCCTCTTACAGGGGTCCACTTCCCATCGCTCTGCAAACTCTGAACCTGGATGCACATTCAAGGGCTATTGACAAAATGCTGCTTCCGAATAACTCATAATTCAAGCCAGAGAACAGTTTGTTTCATGCAACATCCCAGGAAGCTGCAAGAAAGCAGTGATGGCATGTGTCATGGGGCACACAGAGCGCCCGGAAGTCCTGCAGAAGAAGGAAGCTCTTCTGTCGGAGGATCACAGAATGATCTGCAGTTAAGAGGGAGCTGTCCAGGGCATGGGGCAGGAAGACACAGCCACCAGAGGACAAGGAAGGCAGGTGAGAGATATCGGTAGAGAGCGCGCTTTCTGCCTGGCATGGAAGGAGGCTGGCTGTCACCTCCAGGGAAACGTGGACGAATGTCTCAGCAGGACTGGGCACCTCTGCAGTGAGGCTGATGCGCAGGGGGCTCCCATACAGGCTCGGGAGCTAGAGCAGGAGCTCTGCATTGCAGAGCCTTTGGGCTGCTCTATTATAGGGTGCTAGGGTCAACCACTGGCCCCAGAGCGGGGCTATATGAGAAGCATTATCCACGGGGCATCACCCACAGAATTTAGAGGAACCAAGCAATGGGAGACCAAGAACAGGTGAAACCCATAATTTCGCTTTTGGGGAATATCAGCAGTACTCCCTTCTCAGCGCGTTTGACCTTGGCTTCCAGGGAAAAGCTCCGTGAAGGAACCCAGCAGGTCAACCGGAAGCACATCTGCCTTGTGTTTGCAAGTACGACCCCACCTTTGGGGGGTTTTCCCTGGTGGCAAAGCTACTTCATCTTCCCATCACCAAAGGCAGAGGGTGTGCATCCTGCCCAGAACCCGTACTTCTTCTAAGCAATGCTTCCGATTTTCTGAGGAGAAAAACTCAGATCCCTAAGGCACATCTGACCTTCCCTTGGGTTCGGAGATACACTTAAACTCACCCTGTTGACGGTGGTCCTCAGCCCTACCCTGGGGGAGTTTCAAGGTCTCTTACCTGCAAAGCCTCCAGGAATCTGAAGGAGCCCAGCCTGCGCCCGCGCGGAACCAGACAGAAAGTGGCATTGTGCAGCATTTCCCGATAATCATACCTAGAAACAGAGGAGGCGCAATTAGCAAACAAGACCCCTTCCCCTTCAGGCCTGAGTCCCACATTGCGCATGTGCAGAGATTAACCCCACCCCGGGGCTGGCCCTCTTAGGTTTCCATTTTGGGGGAGCGGTTTGGGGATTTGCAGGGAGAAGGACAACAAATGTGAACAGGCATGGCGGATAACGCCACTGAGGTTTCCTTTGCAAACAGTACATAAAAAGACAAGTCTGACTGTCCTAGAGACAATTTGTCTTGCCTGGTCTTCATTCCCCAAACGAGACTTCCACGTCTGGATGAAAAAGGAGGTTTCTGTAGGCTTAACAACAACAAATCATTGCTATGTCCTCTTCTCCCTCTCCTCGAATTCCAGGCCATTCAGGAAAACTAAAACCATTCCTGTTCCTTGCCCTCCAAACCATGCTAAGAAAAACTGTTCAGGAAACCTCAGTCACAAGCACAAAACAACACTCATTTTCTCCTTCAAGCTGGAGTTTCTCTATGAGATCAGAACATTCAGTTTCTGCAAGCAAATACCGCTCTATAAGAACTGACTGACCCGACCGACAAAAGACGAGGCAAGATGGTGAGGGGGGAGCTGGTCTAAGAAGTGGGGAAAGAGGAGTCGCAAGAGAGAAAAAAGGAGAAGAGGGTACAGGGATGTGGAAAACACAAGAGATGATTCTTTCTCTTACTCAGTACCACTGAATGGTAAGTCACTGCTTTCGATTTTGGAAAAGCGCACACCCTATACCATGAGTGTCACTGTCTTTAATGGGAGTGAGGTAGAAGAAAGATAAAAGGCATCTCATTTGTTTAAGACTGTCACTATAGGAGTGATTACCACAAACTCATTCCTAAACATGCAGTTTCGAGTTCATTATGAATTTAAGCAAAGTGGGGAAACCAGAGATGGCTCCTGTCCTGCGAAGGCTCCAATCCTTAGAGCCAAGACGAAATCACTCTCATTTTTCAAGAGCTCCCAGTGCTGCGCAGACAGGTGTGACTTTGACAGTAGCATATGTCACCAGCATTTTCTGACTCTAATAGTCTAATTTAATCATAGCCTGAAGGCACAGGATTCTTCTCTCCTCTTCTTGGGATATCGATATATACATTTATATTTTTAAATTCCACATCTATTTTTATACCCCCATCCAAACTAGGCATATGGGAGTAAGCCAATTTTCAATTACAAACCCGTCATTAAGAAGAAACATCATGCAAAGGGCCATTTGCTTAAACAAGCGTGCACAACTAATTTGCACAAGAAAAGGTCACTGTGAATAGATTAAGATTATCTCCATTGAGAGTCAAATAAAAAACCCTTGCTGCATTAATTAAACTGCAAAATAGACTTCAAAGTGGAAAAGATTTTTAAGAAGGCTCCAATCTTGATAAATAAAAATATATTATGTGGTAATGACTTCTCTTTCCTCACCAAACACACAAAGGTAATTGACAAGTATCTTCAATTCTAAGTGTTGATAATGTCTGAATCTCTACCCAATAGAGAGCAGGGAGATGTGCGCATACACATTTATGTGTAAAGTTTAAACTGATTTTTTTAAATATAGAAAGGTTGAATGTACTTCAGATTTTAGCAAGGTTTAATGGGCACTCAGGAAAGAAACCCCTGAGGGTCCAGCACACAAGTCCTACAGCTTCATCATTAGGCAGCTAAAAATGCAAAACCTTATTATTGTTCCAAATTGTAACAAGTTCCAAAGTTGCCAGTTACAGAATTTATTTTAGGGACTGGGTGGAGGGAAAAGAAGGGTAGAATCGAAGAGGAAAAATTCAAATGGCAGCTATAAGAGGGTGCTGATTTTTCAGTGGCTGCACAGAAGGATCAGCTGCTGGTGCAGTGCAGGGAGAGGTGAGACTGGAGCTCGCCGTCCTCCACATCATGAGGCGGGAGCACCCTCGAAGGAGGAGGAACCCGCCAGCGAGCTGAGACGGGGCAAAGCACAAGCGTTTCTCCATTCTCAGTTTCCTCAACTGCAAAAAGAACCAGTTGGGCTACAACACCAAAGACTCCATTTTAACAGTCCTGTAGTGTTCATGTTATCGCCGTCAGGGAAGGGAGAGGAATGTCCTTCGAGGACATGCCACTGCGTAGAAGGTTTCTACATTCGTGCCTACGGTAGGGTGTGTGTGTGTGTGGTGAATGTATGAGTATAAACATGTCTGTATGTACACAATGTATGTTTAGCATGTGGGTGGTTATATAGACACAGAAGGTCATACAGATTATTATGCACGCATCACTCAAAACGATGATTTCTGCTCAGATTTCTGAGCACGCAGAGCCCAGCCTCCCTCTCTTTCAGGCTCTATCGTCAGTGAGACTACGCACCAGGGGTGGCTTCTGGCTGATGACAAGGAGGCCCTGTGAGACCAACCACTTGTTAGGTGCCCTCCCTCTTCTCCGTTCCTTGTGATGTTCTGTCCTCTAGCTACAGGGGTACCTCGGTTCACTAACTTAATTCTTTCCATGATTCCTGCTGAAGAAGTCATTCCATGACATGGAAAGAATCCTAGAAAGAATCGAGTTTGTGAACTGTGGCACCACTGTACTTAAGCCCATTAATCTGCAAGGTGTGATTAAAAAAATAGTGGTGGATGGTTTAAATGACAGTAAAATAGTAAAAGACACTTTGCTTTAATCTTCTGCAAATTACTCCCCCACATGCACAAACACACTTCAAACAAACATGTTTACCTATTTGTTCTTGTCCCTTTTGGAAGCGGTTCTGGAAATCCTTTTTCACGAGTGTCTAGTTGTGTGACCATGGCTGCCTTGATGTCTTGAGTTGATTCAAAATATTTAACTTTCACGGCCATTTTGGGCAAAAGCATTTTAGTGCCAGATTTGGACAATAAGCACACCACAACTTCTTTATGAGCTTACCCTTTGGCTGGGTGGCACTGGTTGCAGTACTTACCATATTTATGATCACACCTACTAATGATACTCATGAAAGAGCACTTCCAGAGCCGCTTCAGAAAGTGACAATGATTAGTGTGTTTCTAAGAAGGAGGAAGAATTTCGATGGAGATCATTGTCAACGCCTTTTTCTGCAATAAATTCTTTAATTTAAATATTCACTGTATATTTTGATTATAACTCCTGTTCTTTCAAGAAACACTCTTTCACCCATGTCCCACATTTCACAGATGTGGTCCAGGTCTTTTCTAGTTGCTGGATCTACCAAAGCGTAATTGACAACTGAAGAGCTAAGAAGCTAGGATGTGCCATCTTCTGGGAACTATGTGTATCCCAAGATTATAACCACCTTTTTGGAATGGCACATAGATAACTCTGTGGACACTCTTCCCGGCAAAACAACATAGTAAATAGTAAAAGTTATGAAAAACATTTTACTGAGAGTCTCTGAAAACTCTCCGAAGGGTAAAATGACAAAGAGTTCATTTGAAAAATTCTGCCCAAATTTGGCGAGAATTGAGAAGCATCTGTGCTGTGATGACCTCCGATGCACCTGCCAGCAGCTCTACCTGAGGCCCCCTGAACTCCCTTCAGCAAGGTGGAAGAGGCAACCCCTTGAAGAAGGCAGACACTTGCACGTCATAGATCTGATAAAGGACTCTTATTTCGAAGATGTAAAGAACTCTTCGGCTCAGCAATGAAAAGAAAAGCTAATTAACAAATGGGCTAAGAATTTGAATTGACATATTTCCAAAGCAAGCACACAATGAAAGATACTCGACATCATAGTCATCAGGGAAATGCAGATCAAAACCACAGTAAGATACCACTTTTTAACCCACCCGATGGCACTCACTGTCCAAAGAGTAGAGCAAGTGCTGAAGAGGATGTGGAGAAATGAAAACTCTTCATACCTTGCTGGCAGGAAAACAGAATGGTGCAAGTCACTTAGGAAAACTATTTGGCAGTCCCTTTCCCAACTAAAAACAGATTTAACATATGACCCAGCAGTTGTACCCTTGGCCATTTTTCCCAGAGAAATGAAAACTAATTTTCACATAGAAACTTGTCCACAAATACGCACAGTAAGTTTATTAATAACAGCCCCAAACTAGAAACTAGTAAGATGTCCTTCATTCAGTGAACGGTGCAGAAAATTGTGGAACATTGACAGCCTAGAGTTCTTCTCAGCAACAAAATGGAACAAACGATTGATGCTTACCACCTCAAGGAAATTATGCTGCATCCAAAAGCCAATCTGAAAAGGGTACAGACTGCATTACTCCATTTACATAACATTCATGAAATAACATAATTATAGGGATAGAGAACAGAGTAGTGGTTGGCATTGGTTGGAGGTAAGAGACCAAGACAGGCAGCACTTGAAAGGCCAAGTGTTGGGGGGTACAACCTTTTAAATAGAGTAACCCTCTCCTATTGCTTAAGTCTAGAAATTATATTAATCACACCATAATCGCACCTTACTTGAAAGTAAAAGATAAACACATGCTCTCCTAAGCGAGAGGGTAAGTAAATGAGACATAATGCTTGAGAATTTCCAGCTTTAATTAATAAACGGCTGTGTTACCCTTTTCAGATGACATTAAGTTTCCTACTCTGAAGGTAACGACACAAGGTAGAAGAGCTCATAAGTGATCACAAAGAAGATTACAATTAAAATGCCGTGACCCTGAATTTAACCGACAGACCAGCCACTCAATGGCCACAAGATTTTCTCCCTGCAATTGCACCGAATAATGTATGGGCCATTTAAAACCGGCTGTGTGACAATGCATAAACGAAGACCCCCCCCCAGAGGCAAATTTTTTTGCACACAGTGATTCTGTGAAACTGGGACGGGTGGAGCAGAGGCACAGGGCCACCAAGGCCCGCAGCGTCATCTCCACCCTGGTGAGCTGGACAGAGGCAGTGCTCTGGCCTCCCCAGGGTGCGGTGACCGGGACACTCCAGGGAGAGCGCCCAGGATTCTGTGTTTGAGAACCACTGCCTGACAGTGAAGAGTGTCTTAATTAAGAGCTTAGTGGCTAAGCA